TATATCAGAGAAATCTTGGGTTCGGAGTGGGAGTGTAGGAATCGTCTTGATCATAGGCACGGCAAGGCCTACCAAGCGGAACGAAGACCTCCGTCAGGTGGGAGAAGAGGTTGTGCAGCCGCAGCCATTTCCGCGACGTTTACGTATTGGTGGCCCATAAAACCAGTTCCCAACAGACTAGTGCGCAGACAGATAAAGACAGATAGAAAATAAAACATACTACTGAAGCCGGGCCGCCATATGATTTGAGTGGAATATGGAGCTAACTTCGGAGCAGGATCGAAAAATGAGCAGCACCTTACTGAGTCTTTCAAATGCCACTCGTAGTGAAAAATCTTTCATATGATCGGTATTAGCTCCTAGTTTCTGTTTTCACAATGCAAATTTTACTGTGCATACAACAGCCTAATTACCGATATGTCAGTGTAGTGAATGAAGCTCCAACCGAGGTTGATAAAATAACGTTTATTTGGCTTAGGTAGGCGAAAGCGCCGAAACGTGAGTCAAATAAATTTTCAATCTTGGTTGAAGCTTATTCACTACACTGACATATTCGGTACAACTCATGCCAAGATTCATTGAGAGTCGCACATGGAAGCCCAATTACCCCTCTATCTTTCAATTCTGACCTAACTCCATCCATATTACAGGTGGCAGTACAGCTGACATGACCATGGCTAGCTTTTTCTAACACTGTTGAGCACAGCCAAATAAGGCTTCTGAAGCAACACCAAAGTATTTTCGAGATATAGCGACGACTTGGCTTCTCTTGTACCCAATGATTAGTATTTCATGGGTTACAGTGTCTTCTGAAATAGGACAACTGAAGAAGCACATCAAAGATCTATAAGATCGTCGGGCTCGGAGCGCTCCTAGCTCGATTTCTCTTCTTGAAGATAGCAGAGGTTGACGATCACGGTAATGTTGCTGAAAATGGGTTTTGCTCGACGAAGTCGCACTTCCGCAATCAAGCAATGACGCTGACAGGAGCATTGCAGTGAAAATGCTCCTCAAGCTTTCCACTCGAGCTAGACAGAAGCTCCTTGGCGGGAATGTTCTCCACTTCACGATTGCGCCCGTCTCAGAATGACACTGTTGCACGTGATTTTGCCTGGGAGACCACCTACCAGACATCACACGCAACAAGTGGTACTTGGTCTCCTCGAAAATCGCATGCAGACATCCACACCAGTTTCAGAATCTGGGCTTCCGTTCGCTGCTCTCCTGCCATAAGCCATCTCCCCAGAGAAATCGGAAAGTACAGGCGAACTTGAGAGGAACGTTTCAAATGAACGTCATTCTAAACAAAGAAGATATGTGAGTGATGCGGGTTGACAAGATCTTTTTCGTGACCTCTTGGCTGCCAGATGGGGAGCTTCTCTGTCGATCTCAAGAGACCGATGTGTCATCTCTGATAAAAATGTTTTTTGCACGCTTCATGTCAAAAGAAGCGCTGCTGCTGAATCTGTCGGCCTCTTCCGCGGCTGCTGCTGGAGACAAACTCACGCGTAAAAAATTCTTCCGATCAAGTAATCGTTTTCACTCGTTTTCTCATATTTCTGCTTTGCCTTGAATGTTGGACGCTTTTGCCATCCCTCTTTCGTCCTTTTCGTTAACTTCCGTAACAAAGTGGCTCATTTTGTTGCACCACGCCAATTTTCGGAAATCCATTTCGTGACTCGCACCTCGCTGTGAATTCAAAAGATTTTGTTCATAACAATTTCAGAAAATCCCACCTTATTCAACGGCAAAATGTCAGCAACTCTGGTCCTCGGTACACCAATGGAATGAGAAAAGGTGAGAGTTTGCGCTTCAGATCGACATTTCCTCCCTGCACAAGGAAGGTACAGAGCATATCTGTGCGAGTGACGTTCCATACTGAATCATCGATCATGTGTTGAATGCAAATTATTGAATCATTCTATTTTACCCTCTCTGGGGTTGGCACTTCGTTCACGGCGTCACTGCCACCTCTTCGAAAACTCTAATTTCATTTCCAACCCGCCTTTCCCTTGCAGCTTATCACACAAAACAGGTCCGCTGAGAATTCTTCGAATTCCCGCTCCTATAATGATGTGTAGACGGAGCCACAGAACACAGCGTACAGTAGTCATTGGCCACTGGAGAGTGGATCTTTCGTGAACCAAAGAGGAAGGAATAGCACTCCGCAAAAAAGTACACGGTATTCTTCAGTGGATAGACATTGCTAGTGCACTTCGAAGAAAAGAAAGCTGTCTCCAAATAGTAAGCCAAAACCAGGGTTCACCATTGTGTGAGCCCCATGAAGCGCCATACCCACCAGTCACTTCGACGTCTATCAAAACTCAAGCCAGCTATTGTTCTAGCGCGAAAGAAAGTTCACTTCTCGTGGGCGCGTTTCTGATTTACAACTAGTCAGCTCGAACATATAAGCTTTTCCGGATGGAGCGGTCAATCTAGTTGGTCATGTCTTGATTAAGGTGGAGATGAGGAGCCACTGTTCTCCACAAACAATCCACAGCCTCTTAGCATACAACATCCCACGTCAGGGTTTGCCAGAGAAGCGTTCAGCCAGAAGTAACCAAATTGGTGCTAGTACATATGCCAGACCTAAACCGAATAGCTCAGCAATTGGCGTCAATTTTTCATCTCAAATGGCATCTACCCGGCAAGAAATGTTTGCATATTCGCCCTCGATGGCTTCAGCGGCTCTCTGTCGTGGTTGTCTTCGGGCCGCAAATTCAATTCGTTGACGTCTGCCCCTCTCGCGTTATGAAGTGTTCGATTGCCGTAACGAAATCGTCGAGGATTTCGGGGCCTGCTTCGACATTGTGAGGGAGGATGTCAGGCGTCACTCTTCTCGCTACTCGCCCCAGATTATCACCTTCACGACCTCCTGGCTGGTCATATCGGTCATACTTTGTGCAATTCTCTTTGAGATGGCCGTCTGCGGATTCTCTGTAGCATTCACTAGTCCCGATGTCGTGTCTCTCAGTCGACAAGCCAGTGCTCGGAATCTAATCATATCTGTCCCTTCAATCATCGCTCTTTACATTCAGAATAGCATGCCAAATAACCCAAGTTGTTGCCTAACTCTTAGATCATCTACCAAGAAGCCATCTCTCTAGCTCAACGACACTACACTCTAACGTCGCTAGGTGACTTCGCGCAATTCATGCCGAATTCTTGCACTACTCTCTGGAGGAGAGCCTTGTACGAAAAACTCTTTCCGTTGCCTCTAGAGTAAGAATAAGGAAAAGGTGAAGCAATCAATACAAAGGTGATGCACCAACACTCATGCCTGTTTCACCTCTTTTGTTCTCAATTTGGAGGACATAAGGACAGCGTCAACCGTGATGGGGGATTCATTTTCAACAAAAGCAGGTGAATATTTGTCATTTCGGGCCATTCAAAATGAGATGGTGTACTGTAAGTAATACAATTCTCGATACTCGAGTTCAAATGCTACATGCTATATTGTGAAGACAATTTTTTATGCAAAACAGACTTACTGAACGCAGGAAGTCTTCAGCAGTAATCGACTCATACAGGCAATAGTAAGTGAGCAAACGGTGAAATGACAATGCTAGTCAAGAACTTTGGGCCTTTTCAGAAGCGTGGTAAATTATTATGTCATAATTTTGGGGCGGAAGTGGTGTAGTGGCAAGTGGCACGCTTACCACGCGAGCGGTCCGGGGATCAAATCCTGGGTCGTGAGTCGCCCGGGCCAACCAAGCCTTCCATCCCTCCGGGGTCGGTTAATTGGTACCAGACTTGTCTGGGAGGATAAAAACACTGACTTGTACATCGGCTGGCCCCCGCAAGTCATTTGTATAGGCCACATCGCATTCAAACGCCACTACGAATGTACAAATGGAAGTAGAATGCGTGCCGCATCCCAAAAAGGGATTGATCAACGGCAAATGCTTTATCCTTATCCTTTTATTATATTCAGGGATGTCAGTTTTCTAGGTATATTTCTGGAAAGAGCAAAAGTCAGGACTCGCGTTAGAGTCGACCCTGACGACTTCTTGTCAGTGGGAAAGGGTCGCTACCGTAGAGCTTATGCTTCATGAATTCTTCCAGCAATTCTTCCGCGGATAACCTTATAAATTTGGGCTCAGCATCTCGTATACATATATCATTTTGAATGGCCGGAGTGACCAATCGACTTTGTCTTGTAAGTTTGTTGCAACAATGGTCTCATTTTCTCTTTTCAAGCGAAAGTCCATAACACAGTATTCGCTCCGAACCCTGGCCTCGAGTCTCTTTCATTGGGATCTAATTACAGTCACACCCTGCCCTTCCATAGCCAACTATTTCAGTGCGAACATTCTGGTCCATCAGCCTAAGCATTGGCAAACATTTTTAGCGCAGTTCTTACCGAATACTGCTAATCTTAGTTGTATATTCTGCAAAAACAACCTTATAGCAGAGCGACATGAAGCAATGGGACGGGACAGTGTTGATTCGTGCCCAGAAAGCAAAAGCCAGCTCTGCGTGATTCCACTGGATGAACAAGAACGAGCCGATTCGATTTGTAGCAAATACTGCGGGAATGTGGAAAACACTCCTCCACCATTCTGTAGTCTATTATGCCAAATTTATGTAAATGGAAGTCGGCTGAGGTATCCGAATAGGTTTCTTATAGGCTCAGTGCCCCTCAATGAACTTGCGATTCTATAAAAATACCATCCAACTCATGGAGAGCAATCTACCTACAGCTCTTATCACGAGTAAGGGGAGAGGCTCTGAGTTTCATCCGCTTGCTCTTTCTTAATGTTCCTCGAGCCGTTTCTTTCTGTTGCAGCGTCGTTGTCTCTTTCAATGGTATCCTATACCTGTTGCCTACCACGAAGACCTCTTTCATTCTGATTTTTTGTGCACATCAAACACAGTTCGGGTCATTCCAGTGAGCCGTGACTGCTCCTCAGCTGCTTGTATCGCGAGAGCATGTGTCTCCAACGGCTGCAGTCATGAAATATACTTCAGTAAGTTTGCATCTATCTAATGATAGTCAGATGGAAATAGAACTCATTCAGAAAAATCGTCTTGGATGGCTGATGGTCTCGTTTTTCACTGATGTGCTTGCTACCTATGCATTTGGCCCAACAGAGATTCCTAACTGTGCTAACGACACAACTATCATCAACACTTTGCTCAAAGATAGCTATAACAAGGTTAGTGAAACTCACAAACCCCAAAAATCATTACTCTGGCTTTCTAATACCAAATATTGTCACTTACGAGAGAGGCCGTTCAGGGCGTGGAGCGCTTTCCGAAACGGTTTTTTGCATGGTATAGGGGCGTGTGCACTAAACACAGAACTATGGTCAATTTCCGCTAAATGGCCCTCTGAATGCCAAAAAAGTGGAAATAATTCTCTTCAGAAGACTGCAGTTTTTACACATTCATGGCGTGGACTACTTGCGTAATGGAGGGTCTTCGTAAGGTGTGTCTCGAAAACATCGAGAAGTTTGGTCAAAATTGGAAAGTTGTCGTAGTGATGTCATGCTGTGTACCAAAGAGCGTGTGGAAGTTCTATAAGAAGCGCATTTGGTCAATAGCTTCTAGCAGTGTCGTCCTTCGGTGCCAATTTTTGTGGCGTCAAATCACAGTGCAAGAATTTTGTCACCGCGGGGAATCGGACCGACGACCTCTTTCACACCTCTTTCTTGGCATTCAGAGGGCCATTTAGCGGAAATGGACCACTGTTCTTCTGTTCAGGCTCCATGCGACCCTCCTTTAAGTCATAGAAAAAACCGTTCTTGAGAAGCGCTTCCACGCCTAAACAACGCTCTCTTCGTATTCGTTCACGACGCAACTCTCTCGTGTAATAACTATACAGTGCGTTTCAAAAGTATGTGCACACCCTCAAAATTCACGTTTGAAAGGGAACCATGAGGTTTCGTGCTATGAAATCCTTCTCAATCGATTTCTCGTAGTCGATAACCTATCAATGGAAGCAAAGCAGATAATATCGCTTCACTTTCGAAAAAAAAATTTTGGATGAAATTTTTTTCTTTGTTTCAAAAGTATGTGCACACTTAACAAAAGACAAAAACATAGCTGAGATTAGAAATCAGTGGGCCTCCAGAGTTTCTAATTAGCTCAAACATCCTGTCCGGCATAATCTGAACCACGTTTGGCATAGCTGTTTCGTCGCTGTCGGCCCAAATAGCCTCTACCGCCGCCTTCAGTTCATCCGCGGTATTATACTGCCGGTTGCTAAAGTTAACGCCTTGATCAAGGGCTCCCTATAGGGTTGCAGTAAGGAGGACACACAAGCCAATCTATCGCTTCAGCACCATTTGGTTAAGGCCATTCTTTGGTAGATTGCGAAGCATCGAAAGACACGTGGTCCTGTTGCTAAAAATGCAATTTTCGCTCCGCTTCGCTAAGGAAGGGCAACAGGTGACATTGGAGCACTGCTTGGTATTCTTTACAGTTCATACGCAATAATGGAGCGGCAACCTCCAACTTCCAGCTGCTTGCGAAACCGCCCCAGACCCATCAAATGCGCGTCCTCCGAAATTCCATCTCGAGAACACGACCGGTTCATCGCCATACCTCTTCAGCAGTGACAAAATCTTTCCGGCCCGTCATGATCAAACTCTTCCATGAGTTAAGATTACCTGAGGAGAGAAAGTCCATAAAAATTGCTTGTTTTGAAAATAGGAAATTCTCGAAAAACCGTGTCTTCGCCCGGTGTCCTATCCTATGTTGCCATGTCTGTACGAGCAGACTCCAATGTGGCTAACTTGTGCTGGGCCTTGAAGTGAGTAGCTTTCTCAGCGTCTGTCGAGTGGTGTATTCATTTGAGCGGATGAGGGGCTTAGTGGTCATTTTCGAGGCTGGAATAAAAATCTGAGCTCGGACTGTCAATGAAGAATCCGACAGGATGTGGGCTACTCTTTTGTTGTTCTGAGCAGTCAAGGATCGTGGATGGAGCGGAGTGTGTGCTGAGTATAATTATCAGGGTGCCAGATAAATCTTCGAATGCATTAAGGAGAACGACCAAGTTATCGTGCGATTTCTAGATTGGAACGTTCATTATCATGCAGAACCTTGATCTGAGCTTGCTCATCTTCAGGAAGAAGTATGGCGCGAATTGACATGATGACGAAATGAAAACAGCAAAGTCGGATTGAAATCGGTGGAAAATTCGGCGCCAAAATCTGATCTTCTTCAAGTGTGCACATACTTTTGAAACAAAGAAAAAAATTTCCATCCAAAATTTTTTTCCGAAAGTGAGGCGATATTATCTGCTTTGCTTCCATTGATAGGTTATCGACTACGAGAAATCGATTGAGAAGGATTTCATAGCACGAAACCTCATGGTTCCCTTTCAAACGTGAATTTTGAGGGTGTGCACATACTTTTGAAACGCACTGTAGAGTTTCCTATCGCGAAGTTATTAAGGCGGAGTAATAGTGAATTTTTACCCGCATTCACTCTAGTCGCCTTATGCATTTCCGGTTCCTACTCTTCGTGATTCCCATTTCTGATCTTCCGTCAAAATCTGTTGCTAATTGAACCTCTAAGCAGTAGCATAGTTTATTTCCATCCCTTCTCGCTGCGACTAGCAACCCATTAACGGAAGCACTTCTCCTGCCTAAACCGCATTGAAACACCATATGAAATGCAACTGGCAGTCAAATGTTATTTCCGAATCCTAAAGGAAGGAATATTTTCAAAGAATATTTTCAGCATTACATTCCTTCACATCCTACACATGTACGAGTGGATATGTGGGTGCAAGAGGTAACAGCGGTCTCTGAACTCACTCAAGACTTCGAGATTGGTTCGTCTTCAAATAATATGAATTAAATGTGACTCGTGAAAAATTGACTCAGCGCTGTGAAAACCGATGTACAAGGTCCCTAATTATGGAACCATTTCCAACATTCGTTTCAAAATCTTAATTTTTCGTTTAGGTTAATTTGGAGTGGTGCCTTCTCCATACCCACCTGTAGTATTTTACAAAAATGTTTGCCCTAGCAATAGGGAGTTCACTGATCCTTCGAAACCAATGTCACTACGCTTAGGCGCTAAAAATTCATTCGAGGACTGAGCGCCTAGAGTTCAATGTAGTGTCCGTTCGTCGCAAGGGCTCGGAAGCAGAACGGATGGGGCAGAAAAAACTGTCAACCCGAGAGCCTAATTTTTTATGAAATCCCTCCGCAAGAAGGGGTCGAACGACCCCACCCCAGGAACAAAAGCAGTGTTTGTCTGGTGTGCTTTCGAATTGAACACGTCGTCGTCAAGCTGTCACTGACAATGATATGACAGGGGGCGGTCCCCACCGCACCTCTCGTATTCCACCAACTCAGAAAGATCGAACTTACACAAGGCTCAGCTTTGCTGTCAGAACCCCTATATTGAGCTAGACTATTAGTTATTACGATTCGTCGGTATATTACACCCAGTTCACATCACCGTATGGCAGATGGCTAATCGAAAGAGCACAATTTCTAAATTTTCAAATCTTTACGGCTTTACGGAGGTACATATCTCAGCACTGCCACCTTGATAAATTGCAGCTCTCTGGCACTCGCTGTTAGGCTAGTCTACCTAGATTCCTTCTCAACAATTCAGGTAGAGCAACAGGCTTGTCAGCCACGGGATGGTTGGAGTGTGAATCATCTTCAAAAGAGCCAGCCTCGTAACAGAATGAACCACCGATGCGCTGTGGATTGAAGGGAACGTGCCGCGCCTATCTCCCAGTTGGGTCTCCATGCTGCTTAACTGAAAGATCCTAAGCGGTACTGATGAAGAATGAAGCTTCGAAATACAGTACCTCCCGCAACTTTGTTAAAAAAAGCGTTGAAGTCGCGGATCCGCTTTTTTCCGTTTTTTTTTTTGTAATAACTTTTCATTACCGTTCATTTTTCTTAATGGAAAACTATACCGATAAACTCAGCTCGTCCAGTTCTATAAGCCTGAACTTGTGAATTTCTCTGTTCAAAAAGCCTAAGGCGACTCATCAACGAACGACTGTAGTTCTAGAAAATTGAAGTAATAACCGTTGAAGGCACCGTGTAATTGGGAAGACGAATTGCTCAAGTAGGCTAATGTGGGTGCTACTTCGCAAAACATGTTTCACGCTTTCAACTTTTTTTCTGGAAATTTTAATAAATGTAAAAAATTCAATAATTATGGGACAACCTCATAAATGACAATATGGCATGCTGCTTACACTATGCACGTACAAAACAAATTCACCATTTCTCGAAGATTATTCAGTATTAATATTTTTAAAGGGTAGGGAATGACTGAATAAGATCCTATCTGGTTCCAGGTGACCCTACAATGTTCAGCTTGAAATTGGCAGGAATTCACAGCTGGGCACGAAAGACGCAATACCTTTTACGCCCGTTTTGTTCATTTTTACGCTATTGCAAACACTTTGCTCTACTAGTCATAAATCTACTTACACCTTCTACTACAATCCAATTATTCTGTCAGATTTAATTCCCAGTCCATCTAACCTAGTTTTGCCAATGCGAGGAGTGCGACAGGAAGAGTCTGCGGATGGGGAATAAGACGTGATGCATAACATTACGGGCTACTCCTTCGCCATCAACAAGTGCCGCCAAAATCGAACCACTACCGGAGAATGGGCCCTCTTAATGACGACTATTGAAACAGCCTGCTCTGCGCCACGCACTTCAGTCCATGCCTCGTAGAGAGAAAAACATTCATGAGAAACTTTAAATTTGTTAGAGTAACTAGTGACCAAGTATTTAGTTCTGAACACTCCTCCAGAACTCGAACTATGTCGTGCACTTGTCAAGAGGAAGTACTCAGCTGAATATCTTCTGCGCCACATGTCACTAGCTTCGCTTCAGTCCCACCGAACAATTCCCCATCTGAGCCAATGCACTTAGCAAAACACCCTTCAAGTCAACACGAAAAAGCAGTTCGTGTTGACGAGCAGCTTATTCAATTGCTGAACTCGTGCCGAGGTCATATTTCCAAACTTTTGCGACTACTCTTTGTTAAATTTTTTCAAAACTTCATCGTAAGCGCAATTCATGCCTCCCAAAGTAGCGCGGCCTTTTGGCATCTCTTTACGTTTTTTTGAGGAGTCTTAATGAAGACGGAAAATTATGTTCAAGAGGATTATCCAATCAGGGATTCGTTTCAGATCTCTATATCAACGAATTCTGGGAAGATCCTGCCTTGGTTTTCGACTTCATGAATCCGTGCAAGTCGAATATTTCGTTCGACGACAAGGTTCTCCAGAAGTTGTGGATACCAAACACGTGCTTCATCAACTCGAAAAACGCAGCGATTCACGAGTCCCCGTTCAAGTAACTGAATTTTACCATTCTGGATCTTTTTCTAGCTTTAGTGATGAAGAGTCAAAAGCCCCGACGGTAACATATGAAAAACCGAAGTGATCAGAAAGCTCGTTCCAGAAATGTTTTCCTGATGGTTTTTCGGAGGCACCTATGGCAAACATCCGATGTAAACTCACCCGGACATAGTCGACAGGAATCTCAACCGTGTCCATTCATCACAAAGGCTTTCTTTCACATGAATCGTCAGTTGAGAATAGCATTTCCACGTTGTCCTAGAGTTGATGCGCTCAGTTTAAGATGTTTTCAGTACAATTACAACACGGGTGAAGTGCGAATGCAATGGAATCAACCATATCCAGTGATGTTACTGAAACCAATTCAACTGCCCGACTTCGAGATGGTCAACTTTAGCGTTATCGCAGTTGAGCAGGTAAAGTTTCGGTTTCTTTCTATCGGAAACCTTCAAAAAGTCACTCGCTTATGATTTGCCTTTGCCAACGTCGCATAACCTTCACAGAAAAAAAGATTCAGAATCAGCAATCTCTCCCAAATGAAAGTACGGTCCAGGTCCAAATTGCAATTCAGATTTAGAGCGATTAGCCTACACACTGACTGCGGCTAGCGATACACAATTCACTGTTTTCCATTTCCCAGTGTACCTGGAACCATATAGCACTGAATGGAAAAGCCTGCGCAAGTCCGGAAACTGATTCCTCGTTCGTGGCGCTTGTGAACACCCCCACATGACCACTACACCACTTGACCGTAATAGGCTCAAAATTCCTACTAATGCTACAAAACGTGCGCATGTCACTGACACTTCTTTACTCATGAAGCTTCTGGCGTAGCATCGGGGGTCACTGCCATCCATGCGTACAGTCACACTGGGTCTATTGTGGGTTTTAGACGAAATGACGGGCACCACCGGCCCTTCGATAGAAATCATGCGCGATAATTGCTCCAACGACGCTGCTGTATACGGCGAATATGCATCAATATCGTAATCTATCCAAGGCGCAACCGTCACGTCATTTGCGGTGACACGCCAAATCAGAATTCGAGATATCAACCGTGGCAACACTAACATTTACGGTGCACCGTGCGCTTTACATTGCGCGTCCTGATCCGAGCGAAACCCTCACTCTCATTTACCCTCATCAAGAAATCCCGTCCAAAATAAGCAAAAGGAATTTGCTCCAGGTAAAAGTATGGCCCGCCGGCATGCCCCACGGATGTCAATGAATGGGTTGAGATCCTACACCTATCGCAGATGATATACAGTGTAGCACCAAGAGTCATGAGAAGAGAAGCACTTAAAAATTCGATTGCTAGCTTTTCGTTTTCGGAAGTTGGCAGCGTTCTTCCTAATTCTAGAATCATGAATTCTAATTTCAATCCTGCTTCAGATGTACCCAGCCGGCTGGTGGGACGAGTTGACAGTGGCGTTCGTTTTCAAGAGGCGGTACGGGTGGTACATTCTGCAGGGATACATACCCACTATGGTCACAATTGTGATCTCATGGATATCGTTTTATTTGGGACCAAGGTTAGTAATATACGAATTTCATAAGCACTCATTGTATTCTTGCATATTCCCTCCTTAAAACGATGCAATGTACATTGAATTACCCAAAGCATTATTAGCACTTGTGAAAACAGGAGATGATGGTAGAAAACGCGCTAAGGCCACGTTCATAGCCTACAATTTGGGAGATCAGGAGATCGGGCGAAAGGATCTAGGAGATTAGTATTTTATGGTATTCAGCTGACAAAAATAGTAACAAATTGCTTAGAAGAACAGACTATAGAAAATAAGAAGCCTCCACTCAACTCGACCAATAGATATCTATCTCTTTTTTTGTCTTTTTTTCAGCTAAATACCCAAATCTCCTAAGATCGTGATCTGCTAGTACTCCAGTATAGTGTTACTCTCACCTCCGTGATTGTTTAAAGGCAGCGATTACGAT